GAACTCCAGAAAATATACCAAGTTATCTCTCTGCTCAATACATATACTTTCAAGTCTTTCATTTCAGATGACGCTACCTTAGAGAAATCCTCCAACCTCTGCACTTTTGGTGCATCATATTTCCTTTAATTATCGTCCAAGTCACTATTTCTGAAGTTTGGGGCCTTGAAAGATATTTGGTTCCCAGGACTTACCTATAGAATTTGCCCTGATGGAACACATCAGGTGTTCTGAACTGCTGATACCCGTTGAGACTGAAGTACCATTTCCAGTTAAGCAGCTGTCATGTCTGTATTGAGTTGGAAAAGGTGGTGGCACTTTTAATCTTACGGGATATAATATTCCCTCACATTCTCACAAGGCTCCATTTTGAGCTGTTTATCACCATCCCAAAGCTGCCTTTGTTTATTCTGCCTGTCAGAATTGTACACTTAAATGCAGTTGTTTTCATTATTGTTCTCTAGCTCTCTTCCCTTTGAATCCTTTATTTTTTGGTACTTGGTGGGAGAAAAAGAAGGAATCTCTTTTAAGATGTGATTTAATTTTTTTATACTGATTTGCATTGTGTTGAAATCTCCTGCATAGTCATAAGTGTGTCTTGTGCTCAGTGGACTTTATTCTTATTTTTAAGGAATGGGGTCTTATTATTATTTCTGTAATAAGTAGGAGTGGAGCAAATCCAGGAAGAGAACCTGTCAGACTAATCTTCTTCCACCTGGCCCCTTCCTACCACAGGCAGCAGGCCTTTTAATGAAATTATCTAAGTACTGCATTATTTAAAAGCATCTTCTGTTTGTTTTATACTTATTTTTGAAATGCCTTTTTTTTACTGGAGGTAATTTTTACTTCAATTTTCAATAAATTATACATTAAGCTTAATTATATAAATACTGATTAACCTTTTGCTTAGGATATGAACAAAGGTGGTAAGTTGCATGTTTGATCTTGTACCAATTTATCAATTAAATTATTTCTTGAGTGTCTGGAGGAATTTGTGAGTCAGTTTGAATCAAGTTTCAAGAGAGGGAACTGAACAATTTTTTTTACTGCTGCTTAAAGACATACATTTACTTTTTTTCTTTTTAGACATGGGAATTAAATGTAGCTAATAAGAGTTCAGTATGAAACAAATGATACTTAAAAGATTATGTCAGAATGAGAAAAAAATGTGGTTAGAGAATTTGTTTTTTGAGTAATTAAGATTTACTTTTTACTTCACAGAAGACAGAAGATCTTTTTCAATAAACAAAAGGCCAGGAAAACACTTTTCTTTCCAATAAAAAGCCTCAGAGATTGCATGTTGTTGTCTTTATGATCTGTTCCTCTTCCCACAGATTCTTACTTGAATCTTTTGCTTATTAATAATTTTATAAAGTTACTGATGGCTCACCCTTTTTTCTAAAGAGGTTATTTTGCCTTGTTTCAAAGAAGCATGCACAAAGAATTAACATTAAAAAAAGTCATTGATGTCTTCTAAATGGATCACAACAGTTCAAGGCTTTCACTATTGCTCTGCCCTGAGCCTTCCCTCTGGTTTTATTCATCTTTAGTGTGTTTGTCCAACTTCACAGATCCCGGGTTTAATCTCTGAGTGATTCCCAAATAGATAGTTCTCTGACCTCTTTCTTGAAGAAAACATAGGATTCCAACTCAGCTGGAATTTCCACTTGAGTTTGTAGCTAATGCCTAAAACCCATGTTGTTTTGCATCTAACACTCAAATCTTGGAATAAACTACACTTGACCCTGTTAATTTGTGACCAAAATTCCAAGGATGATTCTATGATAGGAAATCTGTTCATCTCTAATAAGATAATCGCAGGGCTGGAGATCATGTAATCATCTACATGAGTTATGAAAAAGCAGAGGAATCAGCCTGTTTCCCTTGTTTGACAACCCCTCATAGGTGAAGTGATAATATTTAAAAAGAATGTAAGGAGGTGGTACTCACCTGTAATCCCAGTAACTCAGGAGGCTGAAGCAGGAGGGTTGCAAGTTCGAGACTAACCTCAGCAACCTAGCAAGGCCCTAAGGCCTTAGTGAGACCCTGTCTCAAAACTTTAAAAAGTGGCTTAGAATGTGGCTCAGCGTTTATGTGACCCTGAGTTTAATCCCTGGTACCAAAGCAAAAAGAGAGAAAGAAAAGAGAAGAGAAGAGGGAAAGGGAGGGGAAGGGAAGGGAAGGGAGGGGAGGGGAGGAGAGGGGAGATGAAAAGAAAAGAAAGAAAGGATACAGTCAGATGAAAAATTAGTAGATGTCCATAGAGTGATTAAGCAATTTGATAAAATTGAATATAAAATTACAAATCTATTATCTACCAAAATAAACTTAACGTGAATAAATAATAAATAACTTACAGGTCCTTCTGCCTTAGGGCCTTTAAAATTTTTCTTCTGCTGGGAGGATTCTGGAAGTGAGGAAAGAAGTCCTGCACTAATGTTGAGAGTGGTCTGTGAAGTGGAATCCCTTTTTCTTCCTTCTGTTTCTCTTGCTAACAAACTTTAGTTTAGTATCAATATGATTTTCTATGAGTTGTGAAGTGTTGCAATTTCCAGTTGATTCTTTCCTTCCAAGGTATCTTTAATTTCCTAGTTCTACTGTATTCTTTGGTGATAGAAAACAATATTCTCTTTTTTGTTTTTTTATGCATTATTTTTGATTTTCCACAATTTTTATTGGCACATTATAGTTATAGGTCATGGTGGAATTTGTTGTTACATATTTTTATGTGCATGCAATATAATGATATGATGGCCACTATCACTCCACAACACTTTTTTTGTTGATAGACTTTTTCTGTGATATGGCTTAAGTTATATTGTCTATTTTCCAACATTCTCTCTTTCCTGTTATTTTTTTAATGGTGGTATGAAAACCTCAAATTTTGGTTTTTAGACTTTAAGTCCTTATTTTCAGTGTAGTTAATACACATCTTTTTATTTCCTCTGAAAGTTGTAAGTCAAGGCAGCACATAGTAAGGCCCCTCAGTTTTCTGATAGCCACACTTTGCAAGTGGTGGGGCTACAGTTTGATAAAGAACACTTCTTTATTTGATAGACACTCATGTCTCAGCTGCATATTTTAACAACAAATGATGTTTTGCTAAATTATGAAATCAACCCAGACAGGTGCCCACACAGCTATATTGGCTTGTGAAACAGACCAAAATAGTTAATAGATGCAGTTTTGTACACACTTGAGACTTGAGGTCATTTACCTCAAAAAAAGCTAGCATTTTTTAAAGCTGAACTTTATTTTTATTGTTACAGCTTTATGGTTATACATAGTAGTTAGGTTCATCCTGACAAATTCATGCATGCATGGAAATTGATTTCAGTTCATGATCCCCATATTCTCTCCTATTCTTCCTCCTTCCCCTCTCCCTTTCTCCTTCCTCTATTCTACTAGCATTCCTTTCGCTCATCTATTAATTTGTATTTGTTCCTTATGTAATCTTATTCTTTCCTCTCCCTTTCCTTTATTTTACTTTAGCTTCCACATATGAGAAAACATTCAACCTTTGAGTTTCTGAGTGTGGCTAATTTCACTTAGCATGATATTTTCCAGTTTCATCCATTTACTGGCAAATGCCATAATTTCATTCTTTTAATGACTGAGTAGAACTCCACTGTGTATACATGCCACAATTTTTATCCATTCATCTATTGATGTGCACCTGTCTGGGTTGATTTCATAATTTAGCTATTTTGAATTGTGCTGATATAAACATTGATGTGACTGTGTCACTGTAGTATGCTGATTTTAGATCTTTGGGGAAAGTACCCAGAAGTGGGATAGCTGGGTCATATGGTGGTTCCTTCACTCAGTTTTTGAGCATCTTCCAAACTGCTTTCCAGAGTGGTTGTACTACTTTGCAGTCCCACTGACAAAGTGTTCCTTTAATTATTGTTGTTTGTATTCTTGATCATTGCCATCTGACTGGAGTAAGATGAAATTTTAGTGTAGTTTTAATTAGCATTTCACTGATTGCTAGAGATATTGAACATTTTTTCCATGTATTTATTGGTCTTTGCTTTTTTTTCATTGAGAGATTTCTGTTTAGTTATTTTGACCATTTGTTGATTGGTTGTCTTTTGGTGTTAAGTTTTTTTAGTTCTTTGTATATTCTGGATATCACACTAGAATTTTATAAGTAAAGGCAACTCATAAACTTCTACCACATGCTGTCAGCATTTTATATCAGAACAAAAAGAGATTGTGCTAAACCCCTACCAGGAGTGGGTAGGGGTACTGACCTATATAATAACATAATTTTAAAAATATTTCTCTGTTTTACTTCTGCACTAGTTTTTGCTTATAAAACGTATCTTACCAACACTATTATCAGGAGAAAAAGAGAAATGTCACTGTGTAAGCTTCAATATCCTTTTAACAAGTGCACTGACCTCACCTAGGACTTAATTTCACATTTTCTATGTGTTTGTGTAGATATATTTTCCACTTCTATTTTTTCTTTCCTGATAAGTCATATTTCCATATATATTCCAATGACTACTATTGTCATTTTTAGGTAATAAACTTATGTTATAAATGTTTTTGCTCACGCTTTGTTCATTGTGATTTCCATTTCACTGAACTGCTGTAGAGTGTGCTCTGGTCCTTAGCACTCTGCTGAAACCTGGACAGAAATGTAGTATGGATTTCTATAGCCTATAGCTTTCATTTTATACCCACATAATACTTTCACCACTTTAAAGGGGGTCTTCCATTAAGAAGAATGTGTATGTGTAGTATTTCATCTATTGATTATTGTTTTCTCTTTTTATTGTATCAGAGTGTACTATCCTACTAAATAAAATTATTAAGTCAAGCTTATCTTAAGGAAAAAGATAATTTATAGAACCAGGGTATTCTATCATTAGAACATAGAACCATCTTTATTATACAGGTATTCAGTGTTCCAAGACATAGTCTCTTGTGATATTGTGTGTAGAAGTACAACTTGTATTCACATTCATGTATTTTTTTTTTTTTAACAGTTGACTTCAAACCTCGGGCCAGCATGGATACTGTCCATCATATGTTACTTTTTGGATGTAACATGCCTTCCTCCACTGGAAGTTACTGGTAAGGATATTGCACTCACAATATAGAAAGGTAGAAAATGTGTGGATTTTATAAGTACCAAGCATATTTGTGCAAGTATTTTACAACTGATTAATGGGTAGAATTTTTTCACAAAAAACATTGTTCATTGGCATTATGTGGCTATTATGGTTTATAACAGTTACTGAGCTCACTATGGAGCATATGTATTAGTCTTTGTCACTGACTTAATAAATAATTGTCTATTGTTATATATATGTGCAAATGCAGAAGGCTTGAGAAGAAAGCCTAAAATTTTATAATATTGATACTATGATGTTACTTGTTTTAAAGTTCATGATTTCACCCAAAGAACATGGTAATTCTATTCATTCAGTTCTCTTTTGACCCTGACACTGCAAGGTGATTTGACATACCATTTCATCCTAATATCTCTGCAAAGCATGTATTATTATCCTCACTTTACAGAGAAGAAGGCTCAATCTCTGAGAAATTTAGTAACTTGCTCAGCGTAACACAGCTGATTGTTATAGACAAGTGCTGAACCTTAATTTTTTTTGGTTCCAAATCCAAAGTTATTTCCATTTTATCACATTGACTCTTTGTTTATTCAAATAATTATTGCAGTTTTAGAAATTATTTTAATCACTCTGATGAGTTTAAATTGTATGTCATGAACAATTAGTAAACCTCTATTGATTGCATGCCAAGGGCCAGAATGGTAGTAGATACCATGGGAGATTCTAGATTAGATATGTTTTTACACCCAGAAGTTTACACCATAATTATGACTTGAGATCTTCCCTTTCTCTCTTTTCTTCTTTTCTTTTCTTTTCCTTGAAGATCAGTGAACTCTGAAAAAAGGCAATCTTCTTAAACCTCATATTTTTTCCTGATATTCAGAATTACTGTTACATATTTAACAGTCCAGAATGACGGAGTACTTTGTCTTCACTGAGAAGGGATCGGTTTTGATGTCCTGTCTCTTCATAATCATGTAGACTGATAGACCTTTCACTGTGCATCCTAATATTCATTAGTCTGCTTCAAGGCATGCAGCAATAGCTTTCTAGTCATTTTTATAATAAACAATTGTAATATGTATTTGAAACTGATAAAAATACAGGACAATTAGTGGAAATCTCTATGGACCAAGTACCATCAAAGCATTTGTTAATAGGCTTAAGTTATTTGATGAAATGGCATATCACCTAGGATCCAAACTCATGTAACTCGTTTTATGTAAAATTGGACTCTGCAAATCACAGTTAATATCCTTTGATATCAAAATTCCAGTCTTTGCAATTCAGTAAATTTTTGTAAATAAAATTCTAGGATTAAAAGATTATTCTGTGACAGCCTTTTCTGAATCATATTCAGAAAATCATATCCTTTGGCTTTATGCTTTAAAAATATTCTTCTGAAATTAGCAATATTTACCTTTGGATTAGAATTACTGAAAATTGCTGGAAGGGGTGTAAGCTTTTAAAATCTCTTTTAGCTTCATCTCCATTGAAATGCTATTATGAATCTAATTGTTGAGAAAAATTACATTAAATTAGGACTAATTCATTGTTTTCATGTTAAAGGAATATCAAAACAAGAACATTATTTTGATACTTTTAAAATATTTATTAGTATAGTTAAATATGCTATTTTGGAATTATGTCTATATTGACCAAAAGACTTCTAAGTATCAAAGATATAAAGAAAGAGAATAATCAAAGAAAATATATATGAAAGTGAAAACAGAAATTGTTAATGTATTTGCTATATATGATTTTGCTAAAACTACAACTTGAAAGGCAACAGGGAAGAATGAGAGAGCAGTGAACTAACTGGCTGCATTTCCTGGGTAGAATATTTAGCCCATTTGTATCAGAGTTGGTTTCTTCATTTTAGCAAAAGCCTTATGCTAGATGACTTATAAAACTCTATTCTAAAATTCCATAATTCTGTGGGTATACACTGCATACTAATGCTGAGTCAGATATAGAAGAGTTATTACCAGCAGTGGTTTCTCACCTCAAGCAAGCAGCACACTGAGTTTTACAGTTAGTTGCATCATTGAGTAATTAGAATTTTTGATAACACTACAGCCATATCAATTTAAATAGAATATACAGTATCTGCCTGCTAGCCCATACTACCATTTAATCTATAGATTTGTAATAATCGGCCTCATAACCATAAAGCAAGGACAATAATTGATGCTATTATTCATCATCTTTAAACCAAGCCCAGAGCCTTCATTTAACATTCCAAAGTAGATGTGGGATCTGTTCAATATGCAAAGTAGGATAAGTAAAACTGCACCAAAACTGCACTAAGTAAAACTGTTCTGGTGACTCTGACTTTATAATTAAGTCTTATTTTCCATTTAAAGAGGGTATACGGGCTGGGGATGTGGCTCAAGCGGTAGCGCGCTCACCTGGCATGTGCAGGGTACTGGGTTC